AGTGGGGCTGGACAGTCTGGGGCCTTTGCTAATTAGCCACCTGGCCTTGTCAAGTTATCTAATTCCTCAGTGAAGACACAGTCCCTGCCCCCACAGAGTTGTTCAGGGGGGTAAGTAAGATTCTGTGAAATAAGGTAAATGGAAGGACTGATCGCACAATGGGGGGTGCACTCAGTCTTTCAACAGACAGCCCCACCCTGGACCTTGCCAGCCCTGGTACATCCCTCATTCCTGGACCCTGAATGCCAAACTCTCTCAGCTACCAATCCTCCCTTCTCCCGTGCGCTGGCCTTCCTGACTTAGCCTGGATCCCAGAGCCAACCATTGCATAGAACCTTGGGCAGCCTTTGGCATGGACCTGGAGTCTGGGACGGCCTGACATCTCACGGTTACAACTGGGTCCAAAGCCTGCTGGGTGCTGAGACTTCGCCTTCCTAAGACTTGCAGCTCCCCAGCGCCCACACCTTGGGTCCCCTCACTTCCCTGGCCAGCCAGTTCATCAGCCCAGGTCACAGTATTAGCAGCCCCTCATTTTGAACTTTTACTCTATGTCAGTCTTTGTGCCAGGTGCTTATACACATCTCATTTCATCCTTATCTACTGTGAGGAAAGCGAGATTCAGAGCAATTTCACAGATCAGCCAGGGTCAGTGTTAGGAAGTGGCTGAGCTGAGATTTGAAACCTGGGTCTTTGTGAATGAACTTCTGTCTTGGAACAGCTGTGCTGGAAGGGGCTCCCCCTGCCAGGCTCATGTGTTCTGGGATAACAACGTAGTCAAGAGCGTGGTTTCAGGAGCTGGACATCCTGGAATTTAAGTGCTGCTACTCATCTTGTATAGCCACAGGCAAGATGATCAAATGCAGCTCCTCCCTTACAACAGGAATGGCAGTAATAAGACCCAGCTCTAAAGTCACTATCAAGATTAAATGGGTGTGAGCTTCCCTGGTGGCGCAGTGGTTGAGAGTCTGCCTGCCGATGCAGGGGACACGGGTTCGTGCTCCGGTCCGGGAAGAGCCCACATGCCGCGGAGCGGCTGGGCCTGTGAGCCATGGCTGCTGAGCCATGGCCGCTGAGCCCGCACGTCCGGAACCTGTGCTCCGCAACGGGAGAGGCCACAACAGTGAGAGGCCCGTGTACCGCAAAAAAAAAAAAAGATTAAATGGGAGAATACATGCAGAGCACCGTGTCCAGTCCTGCTGACTCATAGTGAGCACTCATCACTCTCTCCTCTCTGAGTGCCTTCTCAGGCTTTGCTACAGGGGCCTCTCCACCCCATCAAGCAGGGCATGCTCACCTGTCAGCCTCTGTATTGGGATTTCCCGGCTGCTGACTCAGAACACGTGAATTTACAGCGGTGGCTCAGGACACAGTGGTCCACTTGAGCCCCAGTGCTCTGCTCTCAGCAAGCTCTGCTCTCAGCAAGCTCTGCTCTCAGCGAGCCCTGCTCCAGGCTTTGGGTGAGACCCACATGCGTCTCAGTAGAGAGTGTCTGACACCCAGCACGGTGCCTGGAGCCCCACAAGCACCTGGCACATTTGAAGGAAGCTGATGACCATCCAGACTGTGCTGCCATCCTTCCTGTGCACAGAGGTGTCCTGGGTCCCTGCAGTGGTCCAGTTGCCTGGTTTCCCAGGGCGCTGTACCCCAGGCATGACTAGGGGGCTCAGAGCTGGTTTTGTGCCTGTAATAAATGGGCACAGGGGACTCCTGCCAGAGATATAGGCCTTTCCTCGTTGAGTCGGCAGGCACCAAGGACTTGGGTTTGAATAACTGTGACCCTCTCTGAGGGTGACTGCTAAGGCCCTGTATAGACTATGAACATTGAAGTAGGACATTTGATGTGGCCAGCCATTTGGAAAAGGTAAACAATAGCAAGCAGTGAGCCCAGCAGATGTTAGTCCTGAGTCTCACACCACCCCTTGCCCTCTGGGGCAGAATAACTGCCCCCCCATTCCTCTCCATGGCTAAGGGAGAGGAAGCCTTCTCCAGGAAGCCTTCCGACCAATCCCAGCTGACTCAGATGGTCCTGCTAAGTGGAATCCCCATTACAGAGTACTTTGCCCATCTTCTCACTCAATGGAGGGTGGCTATTAAACACATTACTTTGGGATTTTAAAAACCTAAAGCGTTAATGGTTTATTTTTATGCTGAGTGTTAAAATGATCTATACCCCGGCTTCCCTGGTGGCGCAGTGGTTGAGAGTCTGCCTGCTGATGCAGGGGACGCCCCGGTCCGGGAAGATCCCACATACCGCGGGGCGGCTGGGTCCGTGAGCCATAGCTGCTGAGCCTGTGCGTCCGGAGCCTGTGCTCCACAAGGGGAGAGGCCACAGCAGTGAAAGGCCCGCGTACCGCAAAAAAAAAAAATCTATACCCTAAGAACTGTGGATCCTAAGAGAGCAGGCAACTATCCTGTTAGCCCTCCACAGGCCCAAGTCAGGAAAGGAGCGAGCTTTGTTGGGAAAAAGACTGGGTGGGATGTGGGGGTCCCGGGATCCCCCAGGGCCAGACAGTCCCTCAGCCATTGCACATGGCCTTGCTGGAGGAGGAGCCCTGAATAGTTTCCTTGCTTTTGCACAGCCCTGATCGAGTCCCTCAACCAGAAACCACAGTCGGCCGGCGACCAACCACAACCCACAGAGGCAACCCAGACGACCCATAGGAAAGCAGGTGGGGCCGGCGCCCCCTCGGCCAACGGTGAAGCCGGAGGAGGAGAGAGCACCAAAGGCTACACTGCCGAACAAGTAGCGGCTGTGAAAAGGTAGAGAGGGCTGGGTGGCAGGCAGGGGCCAGAGCCTGGTGTGTTGGGACATTTTCAACTCTAGAGAAGGCTTCCTGCAGCCTGTCATCCATCTCACCTGGGAGAGTCTTAAGGCTGGAGGAGGTTCAAGAAGTCGAGCTCACCAGGCCCTCTCCTTGTTTCCCACGAGGCTCTGGAGTGCCGGCCTCAGGCCTCCACTGTTCCTCCCGCCAAGACAACCCACAGCAGAGGCTGGAAATGCTGACACTGCCGGCTTCCTCTGCCACTGGCCAGCAGGTCCTGGGCCTCTTTACACAGCCCTGTTTGTCAGAGATGAGGCCTGGTCTCCCCTCCAGATACTCCCACAACCCACACTCCTGCCCCCAACAAAGGCCCTTTCAGATCAGAGCCTGTGTGGCGTAGAGTGGAGACAGGAGACGGTTATCCCTCCAAGGCTTGGGCCAACCCTGCACAGAGCAGCTCACTACCAGGCCGAGACGGTCCAGCCAAGGCTTCTCAGGCTTCTCCTCCCATTTCTCCCGAGGCTTCCCTACCAGCCAGCCTCGGGAATCCCTCTGCAGTCATTCCCACGTGGTCCTGGCTGCTACTGAAGACATTGGCAAGCTTCAGGCCTGGGGTTCAGCCTTGTGTGACCAAGTGTGACTATAGTTTGCCATAAAAGCATTTGCCAAATTTACATCTTCTGACCAGACAGGATTTTGACCAGACAAGCCCATGGGTTATAAGCAATAGAAACTGACTGTGGGCCACGAGTCAGGGGTTCTCCAGGGAGCCCAGGAGTAAGAATTAGTGGAAGAGAAACAGCGTCTCTTGAGGGCCCTGTGATGGGGTGAACAGAGACCTGCCGTGTCTGGCCTCTCTGTTATCCCCTCAGACTCAGATAGCCAGGAGAGTAGAGCTGGCAGAGCCTGGAACACACCTGCCCTTGGGCAGAAGCCCCTGATGGACGGACACTGACAGTCCTTCTGTGGTTGCCTGCAGCGAGGGTGCTGTTAGCTCAGGGAAATGGTTCCTGGCCTGGCAGAAACAGCGACTGCCCCCCCTTAAATCCTGAGTGTATTCTTGCTGTCTCTACTGGGCCTGTCCTGCTGGTCCCCAAGCCTGCTCAGAGCTGTGCACCCACCCTGCTCTTTCCTTGCCCGCCACACCTCCCCTACGTGTTTCTCCACGTAGAGGTCCCCCACCAAGCTCCACTCCCTTCTCTAGGGTCAAGCAATGTAAAGATTACTACGAGATCCTGGGGGTGAGCAGAGGGGCCTCAGATGAGGACCTGAAGAAGGCCTACCGCAGACTGGCCCTCAAGTTCCACCCTGACAAGAACCGCGCACCTGGCGCCACTGAAGCTTTCAAAGGTGAGCCAGCCCTGGTTCCCGAGTGTTTGGGTGTTCTGATCGCCTGTCCTTGAGAGGGAGGGAGGGAGGGAGGAGGGGCTTTTCCAGGAAATGGCCTTGGGAAGTGGCTCAAGCCCTCCCAGCTCAGGGGCTGCTTCCTGGGAAGAAGGTCCTAGTAGCCGCCTCCAGCCACGTGGTCTGTCAGAGCACAGATGGCGCCACTCCTCCCTCTCGTTGCCCCTCAGTCCCCGGGGGTTACAGGCGGGGAGCTGAGGCAGTAGAGGCCAGGTGGCTTCTCCAAGGTCACATGGTGATTGAGGGGCAGAAGCAGGCCTCCTGACTCACCCGTGTTCACGTCCTCATCCTGGGATCTTGGTAATAGTTTCCCTGTGCTGAGAAACTAGGTGGCCCTGAGTCAGAGCTTGGTGGCCTCAGCACCAGCAGCCGTGGCCAACCCACCCCGGCCCCTTTACACACACACACCCTCCCTCTCACACCACACACAGCCTAGGGCCTGCCCTGGGGGGACGTGAAAGTCTCTCTGGCCTCAGGGCCTGTTGGTTCTGGGGTGGGTGCTTCAGTTCTGGCTGAAATGAAAAGCTGCCCTTTAATCATTTATATTTTCACTGAACAAATCAGGCACACGTGCGGGCTCTGTGCCAGCACTGAGTTGCTGGGCGCTGCAGTTCCACAGACATCTCTTCTCTCACACCCACCTTGTCCTCAGTGGGACCTTCAGGATCTTAGGCTCACTCCCTCTGGGCGATGGCGTGGTGACTAGCCCTGTCTGGCCCAAGCAGGGTGCTGTGCAGTACGGGGGCTGGGACCACAGCCAGATGGGGAGTCTGCGGCAGAGCAGCCCCAAGACCCAGTGTGCCGTCTCGCAGCGCTGCCCCAGGTGCTCCATTGCAGGCTGCTTGGGGTTGGTCCCCAGTAAGGCAGTCCGCAGGCATCTTCCCCGCTGCTGGTCTGCCAGCCCCAGGGGAAGAAGGAGAATGGGACTGGGGACGCAGGGTAGCTGTGGTCAATGTTTCTTCAGCCCTGACCTCTGCCTGCAGCCCTGCCCTACAGGCACTGAGAGACCACACCTGGCCTCAGGGCCCAAAACAATGGGAAGAGGAGGAACATTCTCCTTATTCTCAGGGGTTGCAGGTTGTGAAGAGATGCAGCTTTGACCTCCTCCTTTGAGAGAGTGGGCTTCTGGCGAAGGAGCAAGAGACGAAGGAGGGCTCGGAGCTGGGGCCTTTGGGGCACAGTCCTCCCACCTCGGGGGCTCTAATGGGGACGCCCCTGGGCTGGGCCAAGGAAGAGCAGCTGGGACCTGGACCCCAGGGAAGACAGGGCTCGCCCTGCCACACCGCCAGCAGTGGTGAGCCGGGGGACGTGGCCCCTCCTGGGAGCTCCTGCTGCTCTCCAGTTTACAGCAGCACACCACATGTTTGTGCAGCCCTCATGTCGTGCTATGACTTCAAGATTACATACCCTCCAGAAAGGGGGTGCCCCATCCCACTGGACACCTCAAGAGAGTGATGAGGTGGGGGCGTTTTGGTGGTTTTCATAAAGTCAGAGAGCCGACTTGAAGCAAGACACACCTGGGTTTGATTCCTGGCTCTGCATCATCAGACCTGCATGAGCTGACACTTCACCTCTCTGAGCCTCAGTTTTCTCATTGGTAAAATGGAGATGGGCTGTTAGGAGTAAGAAAGATAATGCCCATAAAGTGCCTGGCGCGTAGAAAAAATCGGACCATCGTCATGAGGTGGAGAGCAAGGAGCCTGAGCATTAATCCTCCACCCGGCCCAGGCTGCCCGCATTCACGTAGAGGTATTCCTGCATGTCCCCCACCTGCCCCCTCTTGCTCAACAGCCAGACTTCCCGTTGGCCCCTAGGACTCCTGCTTCCTAGAGCAGCACTTGAGTACCTGAAGGAAGTGAGTGCTTGGCCACCACGGGCGCCTCCAGCCGCACCCCCAGCATCCTCGGGCCTGACCTTTCTACCTCTTTTCTAGCCATTGGCACAGCATACGCAGTACTTAGCAACCCAGAGAAAAGGAAGCAGTATGACCAGTTTGGCGATGACAGGAGCCAGGCAGCCCGGCACGGCCATGGGCACGGGGACTTCCACCGCGGCTTTGAAGCTGACATCTCCCCTGAAGACCTCTTCAACATGTTCTTTGGAGGTGGCTTCCCGTCTAGTAAGTCCCCCGCTGTCCCCACAGCCAGGCCTCCCTGGTGGTGATGGTGGGAGGCTGGATGCCAGCCTCTCCCGTTCCCAGCAGCCCCACTCCTGACTCAATCCCTCTGACCCCCCAGGTAACGTCCATGTCTATAGCAACGGCCGCATGCGCTACACGTACCATCAAAGGCAGGACCGCAGGGAGAACCAGGGTGATGTGAGTGAGGAGAGCGCTGGGGAGGGGATGGGGAGGGTGCCCGGTGACACCCGAGGGGATGGGGCCTGGGCTGGGGAGTGATACCCCTCGCTGACACTCTGCGGCAGCAGTGCCCCTAGAACTTAAGCCGGGAAGCCATCTTGGCCCCCCCCCCCGTGCCATCCTGCTGAGGGACACCAGAGGGAACCATACTGCCCAGCACCCACAGCCAGAGTGGGGGTTTCATGGCCTCTGCTGGGGAATGTAATGCAGAAATTTCTGTACCTACAGGCAGGTTCCAGTGTGAATGGCCTTTGTGAGGTCCATTTGTTCTTTTGGGTTTTTTTCCTTTTTTTAAGATTTAATTTTATTCATTTTTGGCTGCATTGGGTCTTTGTTGCTGTGCACGGGCTTTCTCTAGTTGTGGCGAGTGGGGGCTACTCTTCGTTGCGGTGTGCGGGCTTCTCATTGCGGTGGCTTCTCTTGTTGCAGAGCACGGGCCCTAGGTGCGGGGGCTTCAGTAGTTGTGGCACACGGGCTCTAGAGCGCAGGCTCAGTAGCTGTGGTGCACGGGCTTAGCTGCTCCGCAGCATGTGGGATCTTCCGGGGCCAGGGTGTGAACCCGTGTTCCCTGCATTGACAGCGGATTCTTAACCACTGCACCACCAGGGAAGTCCCGGTCAATTTGGTTAAGTCCTAAGTGACCTTTTCCAAGCAACGGAAAGTTAAACTTAATGATAGAATTGTAAAGCATGACAACATAGGGCTGGCTCTTCTTGCTTCTTTTCAGCACTCTTTAAAAATGTATACAGGGACTTCCCTGGTGGTACAGTGGTTAAGAATCTGCCTGCCAGTGCAGGGGACATGGGTTCAATCTCTGGTCCAGGAAGATCCCACATGCCACGGAGCAACTAAGCCTGTGCGCCACAATTACTGAGCCTGTGCTCTAGAGCCTGCGAGCCACAACTGCTGAGCCCGTGTGCCACAACTACTGAAGCCCACGCACCTAGAGCCCGTGCTCTGCAACAAGAGAAGCCACCGCAATGAGAAGCTTACACACCGCAGCAAAGAGTAGCCCCTGCTTGCCACAACTAGAAAAAGCCCGTGCCCAGCAACAGACCCAATGCAGCCAATAAGTAAATAAATAGATAAATAAATAAATAAATAAGTAACAGCAAAGAGTAGCCCCTGCTCGCCGCAACTAGGAAAAGCCTGTGCCCAGCAATGAAGACCCAACTCAGCCAATAAATAAATAAATAAAATTTATTAGAAAAAATGTATACAAAAACTATAACAAGACAGTGCATCAAACATATTTTGAATGCCACAGATTATAAGACCAGCTGGCTGACTAAAATTAAAGCAGTTAGCTAAGATTAAAATACTGTGGACAGTTGCAGAATATTTAAAATTATGCCAGGCAGAGGGGTTCTCTTTTGCTCTGATAATGTGGCCTTCTGTTTTTAATCTATGTTTTAAACTTTTATTTTGTGTGTATTTAACACACAGAAGAGTTTTTTAAATCACAGATTATCACACAGTGAACAAATTTTTTTATTTATAATTTCTTAACTGGCAGGTTTTAAATTGGTAATATAGTCATATGGTTCAGAATTCAGAAGGGTGTATGTAAGGAAGGTCTCCCTCCAGCCCTGCCTCCCAAGTGTCTGGAGGCAGACACTTTTGCTTGCTTTTTTTTTGGTATTCTCTCACAAGTAAATACGTGTACCCACCTCCCACCCCAGCATTTAACCCCAGTTGCTGCTTTGTTTTTATCTGGGGAAACTGGCAGGTAGAGGAGTTTCTGTATTTTGGGGACCCGTGGGAGGGAAAGGGAGGGAGCGGCGTCATGGCCTATCTGCATGGCAGCTGGCTGCCACCACCCGGACTCCATTGTGCTGGGGGAGCTGGAGGCATTTGCCGCCAGCGTTGCCCCCCACCCAGGTCCGGCTTGGGTGACCGTAGGCTCTTCCCTCCAGGGTGGGCTGGGGGTGTTTGTCCAGCTGATGCCCATCCTCATCCTGATCCTCGTGTCAGCTCTCAGCCAGCTCATGGTTTCCAGTCCACCCTACAGCCTCAGCCTGAGACCGTGAGTACCTGCAGCTGGGGTGAGGCCGGGATGGTGGGTAGACAGGGGCCTTTGAGTCTCAGCCCCCATCAGGGGCCTTCCTTCCCATCCTCGTCCTGCAGGTTCTTGATCAAAATGCAGAAAGATGCTTAGAATCCAGACTTTCCCTGTTAAGCTGAGGTTCTTGATCTTGTAAGGATCATAGTCCCCTAAGAAAATGCAGTGAAACCTGCAGATCTTTTCCCTAGAACACTGCACATACACCTGGTTTGCATATGATTTCACAGGCTGCATGACACTCTCCCCATCTTATCTGCTGGCCTTGAAATAAGAACCGCTTCTCTTCCATTCTGGTTGGGGGCCCTGGGGCCATGGGAAGAACAGGGGCTCTAGAGTCAGAGCAAGGGTGGCTTTGAATCCCAGCTCCTCTACTAACTAAGCAGCTGTGTGACCCTGGAGTAGTTACCTAACTTCTCTGAGCCCTGGTTTCCTCATTTATAAAATGGGAAGAATAATAACATCTACCTGCTTATGAAAAATAAATGAGTAATACACATAAAATGCCAGGCTCATTAGAAATGCTTGACAACATTTGTTGAATGACTATATGGTCTCAACCACCGATAGTGAACTTGGGCAAGTTATTTGCCCTTTTAAAGCATCAGCTCCCCTCATTTATTTCCAGCACCTGGCCCAGGATCTGATACAGAGCTGGTGCTCAGCTTCTATTGCTGGAAGCCCTCTGCTCCCATCTAGTGGCCTGGCTCTGCCTGGGAGCCTGGCAGGATCCCTCTCAGCCAGCAGGGAGCAGAGTCGGTCCACTGGACCCACACCAGCAGGCACAGGCGCTCTGTGGCCTGATGCCAGCCTTTTTCTCTGCAGCCTGAGAGCTGAGAGGCAAGAATGGGCAGACAGGGGCTGTCCTCACCAGAGCACTAACTCCTGTCTGCATGTTGAGGCTCTTCCCTGAGCCTGCAGAGCCTGCAGTTGGAGCTGGAGGATAGAATCCAAGAGATGGAAGGGTACAACTCCTTGGAATCCTTCCTGTCATTTTGTTCCTAAGACTCTTCACTCTATACTGGGAGCTCCTGGATACACAGGCAGGCCCTTAGCAACGATTGGCTTAGGGGATGAATGAGGGAATGGAGGCACAGGGAGCTCAGGTCACACAGCTCGTTAGAGGTGGAGCCTGTGCTCGCTCCGGGTTCCCTCCTTCCCTGACCAGGCCCTCCTGGAGAGGGGCTTCTCCGCAGAAGCCCCAGCAGCAGTGTGGTAAGCAGAGAGCCTGAGGAAGGCCTTGCCACAGTCTGTGCCACTCATATGGGAGGGACCCCCTTCCTTTTCTCCACACCCTCATTTGGGTAGCGTGGAGTTCCTGCTCTAGTTTGGGAAGGAAGCAGCTGCTCCTGTGGCCTGTGTGGCGCCTCCTGTTGGGAGCCCCAGTCATCCCTAGAGCTGCCCTGGGCCTGGGGACCCAAGCCCACTTTGTGCCTGGTCTGTTTCTGGCCAGGTCGGTGGGCCACGTCCACAGGCGAGTCACTGACCACCTGAACGTCGTTTACTACGTGGCAGACACGTTCTCTGAGGAGTACACAGGTTCCAGCCTCAAAATGGTTGAACGGAATGTGGAAGACGATTATATTGCCAATCTCCGAAACAACTGTTGGAAGGAGAAGCAACAAAGTGAGTGTGTGTTTGTGTGTGTGTGTGTGTGTGTGAGAGAGAGAGAGAGAGAGAGAGAGAGAGAGAGTGTGTGTGTGTGTGTGTGTGTGTGTGTGTGTGTGTGTGTGTGGGAGCAGAGTCGGTCCACTGGACCCACACCAGCAGGCACAGGCGCTCTGTGGCCTGATGCCAGCCTTTTTCTCTGCAGCCTGAGAGCTGAGAGGCAAGAATGGGCAGACAGGGGCTGTCCTCACCAGAGCACTAACTCCTGTCTGCATGTTGAGGCTCTTCCCTGAGCCTGCAGAGCCTGCAGTTGGAGCTGGAGGATAGAATCCAAGAGATGGAAGGGTACAACTCCTTGGAATCCTTCCTGTCATTTTGTTCCTAAGACTCTTCACTCTATACTGGGAGCTCCTGGATACACAGGCAGGCCCTTAGCAACGATTGGCTTAGGGGATGAATGAGGGAATGGAGGCACAGGGAGCTCAGGTCACACAGCTCGTTAGAGGTGGAGCCTGTGCTCGCTCCGGGTTCCCTCCTTCCCTGACCAGGCCCTCCTGGAGAGGGGCTTCTCCGCAGAAGCCCCAGCAGCAGTGTGGTAAGCAGAGAGCCTGAGGAAGGCCTTGCCACAGTCTGTGCCACTCATATGGGAGGGACCCCCTTCCTTTTCTCCACACCCTCATTTGGGTAGCGTGGAGTTCCTGCTCTAGTTTGGGAAGGAAGCAGCTGCTCCTGTGGCCTGTGTGGCGCCTCCTGTTGGGAGCCCCAGTCATCCCTAGAGCTGCCCTGGGCCTGGGGACCCAAGCCCACTTTGTGCCTGGTCTGTTTCTGGCCAGGTCGGTGGGCCACGTCCACAGGCGAGTCACTGACCACCTGAACGTCGTTTACTACGTGGCAGACACGTTCTCTGAGGAGTACACAGGTTCCAGCCTCAAAATGGTTGAACGGAATGTGGAAGACGATTATATTGCCAATCTCCGAAACAACTGTTGGAAGGAGAAGCAACAAAGTGAGTGTGTGTTTGTGTGTGTGTGTGTGTGTGTGAGAGAGAGAGAGAGAGAGAGAGAGAGAGAGAGTGTGTGTGTGTGTGTGTGTGTGTGTGTGTGTGTGTGTGTGTGTTTGGGGGCACAAAGCTTGAGAGCAGGGAAGGAAAAAGCCCTGCTCCCCCAGTGATCTGTGGGTGCAGCACCTGGCACTGCCCTGCGCCAGCCATGTCCTAGTCAAGAACCAGCCTCCACCCCTGTGTTTCCCTGGGGCTGGAAACCAGGAGCCACCTGGAGATGTCCTCCAGCTTCCCGTAAATCACTGCAATCAGCCTGTTGTTTGGCTGCCGCAGGTAAATATGTAGAGAGAGATTGGAACATTTCTCCTCCCCACCCACTGATTGGGCATCTGGATCTATCTGTGGGACCCTGGGGCCATCTCACCAGATTAACAGGTTCTCTCTTTGGCTGGCCTCACCTATACTCTGTAGAAAGGGGCCTCTATTCTGCTCCCAAGGTGGGACCATATTTCCTTCTCCAGGGTCTACCCTAAGGGAAGCCAGCTCTGCCCCAGCTCCTGGGCCTGAAACTACCTTTCCCCTCCCAAACAGGCCAAGCAGGCATCGTAGCAGCCTTAGAGGTTGCCCTAACTCTGCCACATTGCTTTGCAGAGGAAGGCTTGCTGTACCGGGCCCGCTACTTTGGCGACGCAGATATGTACCACAAAGCACAGAAGATGGGCACCCCGAGCTGTAACCGACTGTCAGAGGTGCAGGCCTCCCTGCATGGATAGTCCTGGGCCAGCCTGCCACCGAGGTCCAAGTATGAGCCAGGGCCTCCTCTGCCCTGCAACTCCTGGCAGCTCTGGTCTTGGTCATGAGGCAGAGGAGGGTGGGAGGAGGGAGGGAGGGAGGGAGCCTGTGATCGTGGCACAGTTTCCCTGTCCCCAGCCTGGCCTCCAGCCTGCAGAGTTGGGACAGCTCTGGCGTGTGCTGGGAAACTGAAGTCTTAGCGCCCTTCAGTGCTCCTCCACAGCACCCTACCCCGCTTGCTGACTCTGGAGCTGTGGGGTGCCCAAGGCTGCTGCTGAGGCCCACTCATGCCTCCTTGGTCTACTTCAGCCATCCATTCCCCCATGGCCCTTTCCCAAGTGCAGCAGACTATTATCTGTGCCCTGGGATTTAGGCTGCCGAGTATTACTGGGCCCCCGAGAGCCCCACACACACTCCCCTGCTGACACCAGGATTAACCACGTGGGAACGGCTGGGCCGAGAGCCCTTCCTCTTCCCCTGGCCTTCCAGGCAGGAGGAAATGGAACAAGATGGTTGGGCAGCCAGACAGCGCCCGGGGCGGGGGGAGCCGACAGGCTGGGAGCAGGAGGGGCGCGTGCCCCCAGACTGGTCCTTGTCTGGTGGGGTCAGAGGCACTCAGCACCGCTGCACCTGGAAGCTGCAGGCATCCAGCCTGCCCAGGCCTCTCACCTGTGGTCAGAAGAAGGGAACAGAAGGTCATGAGTTCAGGGTCGAAGGAACAGAGAACCCTTAGCACAGAAGGAGTGGGGAAAAATGGGTGCTGGTAGCAGGCTCCCCACCTCCTTTACCCCTGTGTGTGGATAGCAGGCTCTTCCCAGCATTTGCCAGAGGGGACAGCTTGGACCAAGCCCAGAGGAGTGTGGGCAGAGCCGCTAATGGTTCTTTTTTGTGTTGGTCCGCTTGCCCACCCCCTCCTCTGCCTGTGTCCTCTCAGCAGGGATCCAGCTACAGACTCTGCTTAGAGGCTGTTTGCTGGTGCCTCTGGGAGAGAGAAACAGACTGCAGGAGGGCGACAGGGCAGGGGCTGAGGTGGGCAGCGCCGGACAGGGCCGAGGAGTTGGCTTTTTAGTGCGGGCTGAGCTGGAGGCTCTGGGGCACGTAACTGCCAAGCTAACTGTTACCACTCTCCTTCCCAGACTATGAAATCCCTGGAGAATTTGTGGTGACATGCACTGAGCCAAGGTGACGAACTGTATATTTAAGGAAAGACAAAAAAAGGAAAAAAATTAAAATGGAATTGGAGGCCGGACGCTGCACAACTGCCCTCTCTCTCACCCAGTAACTGCAGAAAGCTGTTAGGACAGACAGGAAAACCTGCCATGGGGCTGCTTCCCTTCCTCCCAGGGCTGGCAGAAGCTCAGGCTCCACATCGGCTCTCTGCTAGGATACAGAAACCATGACAACAAAAGTAGAATGTAAAACTTGCAGCAAATGTCTGTAGGAAGGGCTGGGGAGGGGACACCCAACTGCCTTTCTTCCCCCTTCCCAGGAGCTACCACCAGTCACCTCAGTGGAGGTAATCAGAGGTGTTGGCCAAGGATAGAGAGGAGGAAGAAAGAGAACTCTCTGTAGAATGTAATTTATAGATGAGTGTATATGTATGTATCTATTTATATGTAAATAACACATATAAAGATATAGAGATATATAGAGATACAGTCTACTTTTTAAACTATGCAGGGATTTGGTTAAGTTGTTGAGTTGATTTCTTCCCTGTTTTAGAAAACAAAGCCTGTTTGGGGAAGGCAGCCTGGTCCTTCAAAGGCTAGACATTAGCCGTAGCTGACAGCATGAGGAAAGTTGGGCCACAGCTTTTAACGTTCCCCTCAACCCCAGCCTGTTTTTGATGGCAGCAGTAATCATGATAGCATAAATCTGCAGAGAACTTGGAAGGTTGCCAGCTGTATGGTTAAACTGGAGGGGAGCAGGCTGCAGGGGAAGAAAGGACTCCTGGGGCCAGGTGCCAGGTCAGTATTGAGTCATGGTAGAGGCCCCAGATGGCCTGTGGGGATGAGACCACCCACCGCAAGTTTGGCCAGCTCAGGTGGGTGCTTTGTTTTGTCTTGGTGCCCAGGAGCCCCCTGCCCCCACTGCCACTGAGAGCAGCAGTGTTGGAGAGGGGAGCCAGGTTCTGCCTGATCACTTCCCCCCTTAGTCCCTATGTGAGTTTTGCCTTATAGGTGCCCCAGGGCACAGCCCCATTGTTGCTACTGGTTTTTCCTAAGCCATGTACCAAGGACTCCAGAAGGCTTTTCCTCCCAGAGTCAACCACGTGGGGCCCAGGACGCTGGGGCAGAAGCCGACTCCTGAAGAAAGTCCGTGACCGTGGGCGCCTCTGTCTCTACCCTCCGTGGACATGATGCCACCCGGCCTTCTCTTGCACGTTGGATAAAGGATGCACCTGAACCAGAAGGGTTTTCTTATGGTCACCCTCAAATGAGGATTTTTTTCAAAACAGCAGTTTCTGCCAGAGCAAGGGAGGGAGGTTTTATTTATTCCCACAGTTTATACTGGGCCTTTTGGAATTACCGTTTTTCCCAAATTTTCCTCTGGTGGTGGGTGTGTCATTGAGCCTGCCATCCTCCAAAGCCTTACTACCCCAAGCTGCCAGCCAGGAGGGGATCACTACCCTCCCAGAGCTTCTCTTGGCTCTTTTTATAAAAGTCCCCCAACAAATAGGATTCTTGCTGGGAAAAGGAGCTTGGTTAAGGAGAAATGTCAAATACGGTTTTTAAACAAGATCCTGCCATGTGATGAAGCGCCCACCCACCCCCATCCACGGATCAGCACGAATCCTCATCTCACCGATGGCAGCGCTGTCACCCGCTGTGACCTCACCCCCACTCTGCCTGCCGAGGGGACCGGGCCAGGCTCTCCTCTTCCAGAGGCGGGGACCCAGGGACATGGTACGCCCCTCTCGAGCCCCGGTCTTTGTCCCTTGGGCCACAGGTCCTGACCTTAACATCTGTCATTCAGTGTGCAGCCTCCTCGGGCTGTTCCCAGTGCCCCACCCCCACCCCCCACCCCCGCCCAAAGAGATGCTCAGAACTGGATGTGAGTGAGAGCGCCCTGCCCGTGGTGGCCCTGGTGCTCGGCTCCCACCACCCCAACCCTCTGGTCTCAGTAGATGTCCCTAGATGGGCTGAGCCATGTGCAATAAGAACATAGATCCTAATGGATCCACTGAGAAGCTGTATTTCTTGAAATAGAATTCTGAAATTGTATATCTATAAATATCTGTTTATTATGTGATTGGTTGGCCTTGGTGGGTCTGTGTTGAGCAAGCGGGTTGAGCTGCGTGGGGAGCAGGGCACAAGCACCTGTTGCTGCTGACTCCAGCCCATACCACCGGGAGTTTTGGTGTCCCCTCGCCCCAGCTGGTAGCCACTTCAGTCACAAGTGTTGTTCCAGGGCTGACTCCATCCCCGCAAAGGGTAAGAAGCTCAATTAGGCCAGGACCCTGGGGTCCCTGACGCCAGTCCAGGGTGGGCAGCCAGGGCCACGATCACAGCCCCTGCCTCCCCTTGGTCCTGCTCCCTCCCTTCCATCCCTCTGATTCCATCAGGCCTGCTGTGAGCCCAGCAGATTTCCCTTCTCCCCAGCCCGGAGCTCGAGCCCACCCTGGCCCAGAGCAAGGGAAAAGTTCTCCAAGTTTCTTTCCGTCTCTGGCTGCACAGCCTTCCCAGCCACCCTCCTCCCCGAGAGGGCTGGAGAAGTTCGAAATATGGCAGCCCGAGTAGGGCTTTACGTGAATGGAGCAGCAGATCTGCCCGGGCCTCCCAGAGACAGGGCACAGCAGCCCTGACTGGTGGCCCCAGGCCCCTCCTGCTGCCGCTCCAACCAAAGACAGGCAGGCTGCCCGGTGGTGCCACTGCAGCCCAGGAGCTCATTGGCTGCCCCCACCCGGGTCACCGCAGCCTGCCCAGCGCGGTCTGCGAGCTGCCACTTGTTGGCTGCAGTTGGCAGGGGCGTTGCCAGCCGCCCCCATTAACCCACCCGAACCCCCTGCCCTCAGCTGTGTGGCTCCGTGAGCCAAAAGGGGTGGGACAGACGCCATCGACTGTTTGCTGCAAAAAAGAGCCTTTGACAAGCGTCCCCACCCTCTGTCAGGTGGCAAAACAAGCGCCTAGTCCATCCAGGCTCCTGGGATCAGCCAGCTTATCTCCTTGTCCCAGGCTGCCCCCAGGTCTCGAGAAAGGAACTGCTCCAAGGGGCAAGGAACACACACCCCAGCCCAACTGTAACCTCATCCCCGCCCCGAGTTCCCCGGGCAGGGTCACCTGGTTGTTGAGGGCAGGCGCACAGACAGATTCGGGTAAATAGACTTGACACGGTGTCGGCTCTGGAGCAGCTCAGAATCCTTACCAAAGGTCACACCATGTGATTTGAGCAAGTCTGCCCATTTCCCAGAGCAGGAAACTGAGGCCTGGGGTAGGGAAGGTGATGCCCAAGGGTCTCCATGAAGCTGTACATACCTTTGGGGTCTATGTGGCAGAGCAATCATTCTGAAAACATTTGCTGTCCTCGAGGGGATCAAACCCACTAGTGCCAAGTAGTGTGGCAGGAGTCCTGAGTTCAGAAGGGTGGGAAAGTGGGGAAAGACCACACTAAGGAAATGGACTTAATCTGAGAGGCTGGAGCCAGGGCCGGGCTGCCCTTATGAGCCATGCGCTCTCTCTCCCGGCAATGACAAAGGCGTCCACCCTGCTATGCAGGGCGGCTTCCCCGAGCTGGAGTCATACCCCAGAGGCAGTGTGGTGGATCAGTTGGGTGTCAGTGTGGACCCCACAGCCCAGCTGCCTCCTGGGCTGATCCACGGACTGGCTGGGTGGTCTTGGGTGTGTCACTTAAGCTCCCTCTGTCTCAGTGGCCTCATCTTCAAAATGCAGGTAATAAAACCACCTACTTCACTGGGTTATTTTGAGGAGTAAAAGTTATCACATATACACACTTTAAAAAAAACAGTCCGGTACATAGGAAGCTCTATTTAAGTGTTGTTATTCATTCTCAGTCAAAGATTAACTGAGCACTAACTGGGTGTCAAATCCCACTCCAGACACCGAAACCACAAAGGCGGCTGAGACTCGGGCTGCCCTGGAGGAACTACCGGCCGGGTAGGTGAACTGGCGTTCAGCAGACCCCAGTGGGCAGAGGACTGTGACAGCAACAAACCTGGGAGCATGGAGGTGCGAGCGGCTCTGGCTGGGGACTCTCGGTAAAGAAACTGGCATCTGTGAAGGAGGTGAGAGTGTGGACAGAGCCTCGGGTGGGGTGAGTCCTCTGGCTAGATGGGACAGTGTGGGCAAAGTCCCGAAGCTGGGTAAGTACAGGAGGGACCGCATTCAGGGAACAATGCGTATGCTAGGTCCCCAATCTATAATTGTCATCTCGCCAGTTACACCCAGTGGCCTTGGGCAGAGAAGGAACTTCACTGGGAATGAATGAACAAGAGACCCTGAGCCTCCCGAATCCTGGCTGTCCCCTGTCCACTCTGTTCAGCATTCAGCAAGCGTGTCTGAGCCTTTCTTGGTGCTGGGCCCTGCCCTCAGAGACAGCCCTGTAAGGCCAGCCATGCAGGAGGCGGGCAGGGGAGTGGGGACAGAGGTTGGCAAAGCTGGAGGGCTAGGCCATGGCATTCACACTGTCACCCCTGTCCCCCCTGACCCTCATGGAGGGATGTTTCACCAGGAACAGAGCCCAGGCTTCCTGTTACTTCCAATAGCCCCACAGCTGTTTGGGCAGGAAATAAAGGTCCAGGGCCCAGACAGGACAAGGGGTGCGAGGGGCATCTCTAGGACCCCCATGGCCAAACAGCCCTCCCAGAGCCCAGGAGTTGGGGCTCTGCTTGGGAGAAGAGTGGGGAGGCTGACTGCCACACCTTGTTTACCCCATTCTCCCCTGTCCCTTCATTAATTTAGTCTAACTAAGGCCTGGCTGCCTTCTGTAGCTCTGACTCGGGCTGGAGTTTTCCTTGGGGAGGACGGGGTACACTTCTCCAGTGGAGCTGGTACTCGTAAGGCCGAGAGGTCAGGCTTAGGGCCTTCAGGGACTGTGGTCAGCACTCCCACTACCTTAACTGAATGGATTGTTGCCATTTTTCTGATGGACACAGTGAAGGGGCCCAAGAGACAGGCACCCAAATAGTGCAGGAGGATGCTGACGATCTCTTTACAGATGAGGGAAGTGGAGGCCGGAAGGATGGAGTGAGGTCCTTTTCCTGTCTCCAGGTGACCTGCAGGCCCTCACACTCTGACCTCGCTGCCCGATGCAGCTCCTTCTGCCCTGAGCCTCCCTGTGGCTCCGCCACTGTCCTCTGGGAGGCCTGCCTGTGTTCCCACAGCCTGGGCCTGCCCTGCCCTCTCACTGAAGGTGCTCGTGCAGTTCTTGGAAGAAGGCTTCACAGCCTGAAGAGGCAAGGGTCTGTCTGGGGCCTGTCCACTTGTTTAGTGCTGCAGCCCTGGGGCCTGGACACAGTGGGGCCTCCATGAACACTGCTGAGGAAGAAAGGGGCAGCCCCCCAGCACTGAGACACCTTTCTGATGGCCACTTGTGGCTGTCCCTCTGCAGCTTTCTCCACCTCGCATACCCTGCCCAGCGTCACCCTGTAGGTAGCTTTGTAGCCATAAACCCACATGCAGGACCAGGGACACTTCTGCCAAACTTGACAGGCTCCAGTGAGGACCAGCATCCCG